TTACATAAGTTTTAATATACTCTTTTTATCTAAGTATTATTAGGTTATTTATCTTAATAGAAGTAAATCGATTCGATTTTTAAATATAAAACTAAGTTTTAGAATTTATTGGTATACGTTTCGGTGACAAAGTTTGTCTTTTCCTTCAAAGATCAATTAAATATTTCATTTAATTCATTTAACAAGAATTAATTAATATAAAAGTGCAAGATATTAAAAGAACCAAGAATTTTACAATTATATATATATATACATATATATATATATATATATATATATATATATATATATATATTAGGGTGGTCCTTAATATAGACATTTTCGAATTTCTTTGCTCCCAAGGGCTCAAAGGGTTCCAAATTGATAGAAAACAATTCTCTGAAAATTTTAGCTCTTAATATTAAGGTTTAGATAGTGCGCAATTCAATTAACTTCGTATGGAAATAGCATGGAAAAATTTTGAAAATTAAAAAAAAAAATTTAGGTATAAATTAGCGACTAATGAATTAAAATTGAAAATTCGTGTCATTTTTTATTGAAAATTCGACGCTCTGCAAAATTTTTGAAAAATTTTCATGCTATTTCCATACAAAACTTTGATTGAATTGCGCTCTATCTAAAAGATAATATTATATATATATATATATATATATATATATATATATATGCCGCTCACCTAGTAAAGTATTGTAAAGGTATGCGTTTGCTTCAATAATTTGTATATAAATCAAACTACTATTGTTTATATAAATTTAATACGTATAGCTACTATATTTATAATAATAATGAATTATTGTAAACTTTAGTAATTTTGCATTTTTAGAAGTTTTCTTCTATGACAAAGATACACCTTCAGTGCAAATGTTCATTGTTAGTTTTATCTTTTCACTTCAAATATTTTCATCAACTTCATTGTTAAAGATTAGGTATATGTAAAATGCAAATTTCTTTGTTTTTTATTTCAAAATTAATATTATTATAGAAACACTCCTTATGTAAAAATAAGGGATATGTTCTTACTTATAATTTTATTAAATTACATGTTAATTTAATTACAAAAATCTGAACACGTAATATTCATGCAATTCATTCATATAAATTTGAAATATTTGAATATGGCCTCCCCTAAAGAGCAAATATTGGTTTCGTCCATCCTCTTTGACATTCCTTCAAATGTGTACAAAAGTCTGAATAATTGTTAATTTCATACAGTTTTTGTGACCTTTATGTGTCCTTGCGACCAAATCTATGTGACCTCCCCTTATCATAAATAATAGATTCGCCCACCTAGTGTTAGATCGTCCAATCAGATTCGTGCTAATATATCTGCACGTACAGATGCATGCCGAAGTCGTGCACCGGTGGTACGTCTTCTTGCGCAACTGTCAGAATCGACGTACAATTACTTAAAATTAAAATATTAAATACAACTGGTAATAAATTCAATATTGCAGTAGAAATATTGCAGATTATAAACCTAAATATGGACATTACGATAAATAAAGGTATTTTTAATGTAAGTAGGTATTTATATCGGGAATGGATTCATTCGTCACATACCAATGGGCATTTGGTATAGCATTTAGAATTTCTTTTGCGAATTGTCCAGAAACATCTGATTTCAACACAAATCGACACTGATCGATTTATATATATATATATATATATATATATATATATATATACTCTGGTCTGTACAAAAATACTTAAAAAAATTTTTTTTCCACAGTTTTGCAAAACAAAACTCTCATTATTTTTCTTACTAAAAAAAAAATTCATGATTATCGACTGGTTAGTTGTATCAATGTTAGTGCAAAATTCTGTGTACACATTTTTAGATATAAAATACCATGTTCAATATCCACTGATGATGACATTAAATTGAATGTCGAAACGTTTGGAATTTAAGACTATTTTATAATTCTTTGCCTTTTCTTTGTTTGATGTATCGCCCTCAAGAACTGACTCATATATTTCAACATCAAAATTAACTACTAAATCTTATATATATGGTATATAAATCATATATACACCAATATATATATACATACAAATAATATATGGTCAAATGCATTTTATTCAATCAATTTATTTATTTTCAGCAGAAATCCAATTATGAAATCAGAGGTCCTTAAGCACATTTCAAGAAATAAGTAGAGAACTCACTAGAACAACAGTCAACTTATTATCGACAAAATTAAAAGATATTGATGTTATTGTTCAAAACAAGTAATTGTCGAAAAATACAAGGACCAAAAAATAGTGTTTGTTGAATGAATATTAATAGAATTTATAGGATGTTTTGTGGACAAAAAGTGTTTTGTTTGTGTTAACAGTGTTGTGCTAAATTTTGCAAATAGGTTTGATCACAAAGACTTGACCAGAAGATACATCTTTGAAGCGGTTTACATTAGCAGATGTTTGGAATTTCAAACCAGAAAATGGATTTAGAGGACAATTTGCGATGAAAAAGATCTCATCTTCAAAAGTTCATTATGGTTGCAAATTTATTCTAAGCTATTAGTTCCAAAGATGATTTTGATAGAATTTCTTGTCAGAATCAAAGAAGAGTTATTAGACCACGTTGTTCCTGGTAAGTTTTCATGTGTCGGCTGGAATCTTTGATACCAAGGTGGACTTTATTCATTTTACCAGTCTGCGATACCATGATTTACAAGGACCAACCATAAAAGTGGAGGTGCCAAAGAAAAAAAGTTTATGTATTTTATCGTTACTGGTGTTGAAATTTCCATCCAAGTTGAGTGATGAACAGTATTTTTAAAAAGATAAATGTTCGCTTAATAATAAATTGTTTGGTGTCAATTCGTAGTGATCGTTTTTCTCGATTTTCACCGATTTTTTTTATTCGTGTTAATCGTTTTTCTTAAGTGGTCGTGTAGTGTTTTATTAAGGCCTTTATAGTGTTCTAATGCAGTGGTAGTGCCTTGTTCCCGATTGCCGTTCTTGGTTCCTGGTTCCTGGTGTCTGGTTCCTGGTTCCTGATCAGCTCTCTTCTGGAAATCACGAGGTAATGCACAGTTTTTTAGCACAAATAATATTTCATAATATATTGAAAAATTGTCATTTTTTTCTTTATTTTTCAGACAACAAATTGGTAATCGGGATGTTCCAGAAGAATCGGTGATTTTAAAAAAAGGTCAGTGCATTTTTATTTCTAGGCATGATATCTAAGGGTGCGGTCACACGTCTAATTATGGATTCACAAAAATAGATTTTTATAGAATTTTGTCCTATAGATAGCGGAAACGTATCTATAAGACTAGTAAACTAGGTTATATTTAGGAAATTTTTACTATTTCAGTGTGGACATAATTGTGACCGTACCCCTCACTAATCTACAAATTTCTTTTAGCCTAATAAAAAAATTTTTAAAATAGAAGTGAGTGTTGTAGGAAATAAAATTCGCGTAAATTAATTAATTATTAAAACAAAAGTGCTAGTTAAATCAATTGTGCATAACTTCGCATAAAACAAAGTGTGTGTGTTTGTGAAAAACTTGACTCTGTGCAATTTTGCGAAGAAATGCTGTAATCCATGCAGCTTGAGGTAAGAACGAGTATATGTATTATATTAGATTTAATTTAATTTATAAGTTTCTTCTTTCCATTGAAAACCTGTGCCAATAATAATAATCGGTGTACTTATTAAATTATAAACCTTAAGAAATTTAAGACTTGAGTAAAAATGCTAGGTATAAAAATTGTAATATTTTTGGAAAGTTCTGAGGAAATACGCAAGCGATATCTATATAAGTAAACATAGATTTGTATGTATTGGTTTCAGCATTTTTATAAATTATCAAATACGATTTTAGGGTAATGTTGTTAATGGAATAGATTATTAAGGACTTTATTTTTAAGCACATATATTTTCATCATCACTTGGGACTAATTTCTACGACAGAATCGTCCCGTCCCATTAAACGCGTTAGAGTTCTTCTGACTCAGAAGAATTATTGCATGGTCGTTCGCTGCAAAACACATTGAAGTTTTTATAGAAGTCGTTAATTATTTTATTCCTAGACCGTCTGAGTGTACAATTTGCCTCTTTGATGTCTGACATTTTGTTTTATAGTTGGATTTTATTAGCCAAGGAATGATTTATGCACCTTGAGTAATCATATTTATAGTTGTCATATAATGTGTGCGAGGATAAACGAATTTTTAATTTATTGTTTGTGAAATTAAATATTAATTCTGTAATTGTATTTAATCATTGCGTTTTGCTTAATTTGTCGTAAATCATGTTGACTTTATCTTGTTTATCTCCAGCTGACCTAGTAGGTAATAGAATCTCTATTGACTAACAGTTTCTTTCAATATTTTCTTTAATAATAAAGTCAGTAATTAATTTTATATTTTATTTACTTTTATATTTCATTGATATATCTATTTTCAAAAGCGTTATAAAATATTATCTAACTTATTTTATTAGTCAATTATTGCAAAGGACCACGAAATAAAAGAAGTTATCTGGGTGTGCGGCATATTTTCCAATGTAATTTTTACCGCTGAATACGAATCTAAATTCAAAAAATTGAAAAAAAAAATCTGTCTGATATTCAAAATCTCATAATTTCTAACGTTTCCTGGCTTTTTTTTACCCTAAATAACAATTGAGTTTCAATTAAATTATGTTGAGATTTTTTTTTTGGATAATTCAGCTTAATTACTGCTGTATGCTATAGAAAAACAATAGTGAATACACAATAGTCATTCAAAGTAGAAAGATTTTAATTATCCCACAGAAGATTAGATCTGAGATTTTGTCGTTTTTTTTTATTTTTTTTTTTCAATTTTTTGCCATTTGACTCCCAATTTTGACTTCAGATTTGTGTTCAGCGGTAAAAATTACATTAGAAGACATGCCGCACACCCAATACAAACATTTTTTTAATTTGTGGACCTGTGCTATTATATTCTATCTCTATAATACTATATTAATTCTAATGTACATAAAATTATCTCAAACTATAAAAATTACTGGGCAACAAGTGCTACATTACTTGGAGTCTCTTGGGCATTATTTTCTAGTTTTGAGGGATCAGAAAATGCAGGAATTTCCGGTGGTATTACTGGAAATGGCACACCTGTTGTGAATATTTTTGCATTTATAAATTAGTAGTAATAAAATTCAGGTATAAAAAAATTTAAGAAAATTTTGTTAATCTACAAATAATAGACATTAGTAGTATGTAAGTTACAGTTAAATAAGAATTAAAACCTGTAAAGTAGCTGAATGTACTGTTAATAAGAATAAAAAACATAAGAATTAAAACAAACTCAACAACGATTGGGTAATTGCAATAATATTACTTTTTCCTAAAAATTTTTTTTTGACATAATAAGAATATTGATATGTATTTAATATTGCTACAAGATGTTCTATTATTTGAATTATCTCGGTAATTCATCCAATGAGACTACATCAGAATAAACTATGAACAATAAATTATATCAGCCAATGAATAATCATTTATGTCAAGCTATAAATAATCATTTAAATAAAACTATAATTAATAATTTATTTAGATATGTGATATATCATGAAGCCCAATAAATATTATTGCTTTAGTTGGCAAGGACAAAAATTATTAATACGACATGTTATGATAATTATGTAAAAATCAATTACTTCCCGCCATTATTAATTAAATGCAAATTGACGTAAAAAAACGATAAATTTTGTTCATTACTAAAATTCATTTATTGTTAGTAATTTATTTAAAATATATGCAAGCTTACCTTGGTTTTGTTGATAATGAACTTTTGGTGTATTATTATTTTCATCATTGATATTAGGGAAAGTAACTGGTCCAAAATTTTGTCCAATTGGTGACTGCTCCTGTGTACTCAATACCAATTGTGAGTTTGAAGTACTTAATGTACTAGAAGGAGTTGTTGTTGTTGTTGTTGGTTCAAATAACGGAAATGATCCACTTAGGATTTGAAAAGTTTGTTGAAGTCGTTGAGACATTTGCTCTATTTGCAGCAAAAAATCTGACCACAATCCTTGAATCGCTGCACCTAGGGACGGTTGCTGATCCTAGGAAAAAAATTGTAGTCTTAGTAAAAATCGATTATTTTTAAAGATAATCTGAACTGAATTAATCACTGATAATGATAATGTATGCATACTTAGTTAACTATGTATGTATTTGCCATTAACTTCTATTCTAAAAAATTCCATGTAAATTTTTACGTTCCTATATTGATTCATGTAAGTGTTCATGCACTTATGTATAATTCACCCAACAATAGCAAGATATTTTTTTAAAAAAATTACTTTTATTTATAGAATTGAATAGAATAGTTATCTAGATGTGATAGATGCGATACAAGATTTTAGTATTATTTTATAAAAATCATTATAGATTCTAAGGTAAAGTCTGCCTTAGCCTTCTTAAGAGCCTGAGACTTATTTGTTACAAATACTGTTATAATTTAGCTTTAATCATATAGATATATCAAATATATCAAAAATATTTTTAAAAATATTTGTAAAAAAGTTGTCATTAATTTATTTTTGAATACTACTTATCGTTTTTATTGATTGCACTTTTGACAAACTTACAAGCATTTTTGTTATTATAATTTATATTCTATATAAGATTTAGTAGTTCTTATCTAATATTAGCATGTATACTTCATCACAAAAAAATTCACAAACTTATAATTTATCATGATACAAATTAAAATATTTTTCAAATTCATTAATTATTACTTATGTTATCATCATACGCGCACTTTCATTTTATTGTATTTCAATTAATCATTTCAAGAACTCATCTGAAAACTTTCACACTTGATTAATATACACGATTGCGATAGCATTTATTATACTACATTTACATAATAATTTCTTGTTTCGCACGACAATTAATCATTTGCTAATGTTGAAATAAAATATATTTATAAATACATGCAAAGTCATTACTTACAATCGGTGCAGAGTATGCAGATGCCAATAATGAAAAGGATAGAACAAGTTTGATAAATAACATTTTTGATTCACTTAAACTTAAACTTTATGATTTGTTTTAGAAAAATAATGATATGACAAATTTTAACCGTGTTACTTATATATTCAGTATACGTTTGCGGTGGAAACACCTAGATTAGTGAATTTAGAAGATAACATTATTTACTTGGCACCAATAAGATGGTACAGAGATGATCCATAGACAGGCGTTGCTAATTTCATATATACATTTTATAAAAATTATACATTCTTCTGATTTTTAATTTATTTATATTTTGTTATCAAATTATATTATAGGTAACTATTAATAATATTTTAATTTTGCATCAATAGTAAGTCAATAGTTTGAATGTTTCTTGTACAACGTGCAATTTTTATTAAAATTATGAACTTCATGATTATAAAAAAATTATAAATACGTTTTTCTCTTGAATTCAATTTGAAATTAGAAAAAATATGTGTGTAATACTTATTATATATCAATTTAAACCATATTGATTAATTACTGATCAATTTCGCCTAAACCATTTTGATCAGAAAAGAGTTTCATCGTATAACGCATGCATTAATCAATTTATTGACATAGTTTTCTCTGAATATGGTTATTTTTCAACTTGTACAAATGGTTGGGATACCCTGTTTTAGCAAGTTATTTTTATTCTTTTCATCTAAATTAGTTCAGATCCGTAATAAAACCCGTAAGATCTCCGACAATTTTGCATATCGACTTAACTCCAACTGTGCAAATAACTTTAATGATCATTATTGAGTCTGTTTCACATATAATGTTAAATTACTAGAAAAAATGAGTATATGTGAATATAATATATCGTAGTCTGTACATGTAATATGTAAAATCTATTAGTTATCATTTTCAACCATGACATAGTTTATTAATGTAATTCTTTGTTAATTTTTGTCATAGATTAAAATAGAGCAATTAACGTGAAGGAGATACATATATACTTATAATGATAAAAATAAATGTTCTTTTTTTATTATTATCAACTTTATTGAGATTTTTAATAATTCATATCAATATTTAATATATTTGAAAATATGGCAATCTAATACTTCTGCTTTTGCATTTATAATCAATCCCCTTCTTTTAACCGCCTAAAAGTAGATTTTTTTTTAAGAATAGTAGTAATAAGTAAGTTCTAATAAGTATAAATTTAAGTATTGCTAGAATTGATTACAATTATTCAAGAAATTGTGCGATTCGCCTCTGGAATCAGTTTAGTTCATTTCACTCTCAGGTAAATATGTAATCAAAATTGCAATAAAATAAGCGTACTTTTTCAAGTTCTAACAGTTTGTGGGTTGTATTTTCTTTGAAAAATTATGTACATATATACATTTATTGGGATTTGCTTGGCTTGGTAAAACAAGCCTAATATAATGAAGTTTGCTCGTAAAACATTCCATTCCTATTTATAATGTTCAGAACAACCGTCTTCAAATTTAACAAATTCCTAAAATTTAAATCTAAAAAAGCTATTTTTCAAATAATAGCAATATTTTCCTAATATATGTTCCTTAATTGGGAAGTACCAGCAAATTGCTTCAGGTAACTATACCATATAGTACCTCATATTATTGATAATGGTAAACTTTAATCATTGTTTGGAATACGAAACTCAATCGAAGTGTACTGAAACTTTTGTCTCCACTGGATTGCTATCGTAATTCACAGTTCTTGTCGACATATTGCCAGAATGGTCGGTCGTAACGTCCGCCCAATAAACAGTCAACCGAATCCCCATCTACCCACACTTTTATTCTCTGGGAAAAGATGGGGATGAAGTACGACTGAGCAAATAGTTAGCCACCAACCACTAACTAACTGCACAACGATCTCAACCCTGGGGTGGACTGAGGACCAGAATCGAATTCACTTGGAATTATTTGCAATTTAACGAATGATATAATATCTTAATAGTTTTTATATTTTCCTCAACGTTCTAAATTTATCATTCAGAAATTTATTAAACCGTTTTTATTATTGAATTTTATAATATTATATAAAACTCTACATTTCGATTTTTTAAACAACATAATATTGTACGCATCAGATACAAAACTACTTATTAAAAACGTAGTAATTTTTATTTGCAAGGGTAAAACGTTGTACAATTAGACCGTGAAATATTCACCATTTAATCGTATTTTATTGGAAAGCACTATATCAACACGTAGCCAACTCCAACCAACATGAAAATATGTACCTAGTTAATTCCTAGAGATTTTGTGATAGAAACAGTATTTTTGAAAATTACCAGCAGTTTATAAATAGAAATAATAAATATATTGTTACACAATTTTTCCAAGAATATTAGGGAAATCATTGTTCTACAAGACATATTGGCAGTATTCAGTACGATTCAGTAGCATAAGATATGCAAGGTGGAGTGCAACATGACCTTGCCATAACATTGGTCTGTTTTGTGGCAGAATCAATCTTAGTTGCCATAACATTGGTCTGTTTTGTGGCAAAATAATCTTAGTTGTGGATCAAACTTAGATGTCTTTCTCTTGAAAAACTCTTGTCCCAAAAATCAATGATGCATTGAGAAAAAAATACATAAATTTGAAATTTGCAGTTGAGGAATACGTGTCTCAAGGTTATATGTGCAACCACATGGTTCAAGTTCAAATCCTGCATTGTGTGTTCTGATATCAAGCAGTAATATCAAATTTTACTCGTAGCAGTAGTATTAATATCAAAAGTATGTTTCTAAATGAAATTTGCAATGACAATTCACAAAATATATATTAAAATTAAAATATTAGAACAATTGGGATGCATATTGAGAACAAATGATTATTCAATTAAATACTCATCAGAAAATACCTAAAATTGTTGATTGATGTTCAGCAGCAGTAAAGGATCGTTTTTAGTAATATTAAACTACTTTTATATCTTGATCCGCTTATGGTCACTTTGGTATCAAGAAGTAGTGATGTAGATTTTTACTTGTAAATATAGATCCAACATGGACTCAAAAGTCGGAAAATCTTGCCCCCGATAATTCCAAAAATAGAAATCCATCAAACATATACGGGTTAACCATTTTATTGTCATTGAAATATAGTATAAAAGAAGAAGTTTGAGCACAACAGTTCTTAGAGCAAAAGTTTTGATGGCTGTTTAAAAATAAGAGGAAACAATTGATGGATTCATACCTTCAACATATATAATCATAATAAATGGTAGTCTGCCCAAAGGCAGGTCCATGGTGTGAGAGCCAACCACAAACAAATGATTCCCTTACCCTTCATCCCATTACCACTATTCCCCCTCCCCATTTTTTTTTGTTATTATTTTATGCATTTTCCTTTCCGAACTTCTGCTTCCATGCTTCTTGATCTTGTGCTTCGGCTTTCAGTTTCCTGTATTTTCTCGTCTCGCGTAAGTCGTCAATCGTGTGCATTCTTTTTCTTCCCATTCCTTTTTGTTCCTTCTATTTTACCCTCGATGACGTCGTGCAAGAGGCACTCTTTTTGCAAAAGAGGTCCGATCCAGTTTCTTTTTCTTCTCAGAATTTTGCTCAGTAGAGTCCTTTCTTTGCCCTCTCTTCTCAGGACTTTTCCATTTGTTATTTTGTTTGTCCACTTTCACATACACACACACACATATATATATATATATATATATATATATATATATATATATATTCACTATATTTTTAACTGTCCAGTTAAGGACATTTAGTAAATTTGTGGAATTTACAATTGTCAGCTGTAAAGAGACATGGTATACTATAGTGACATATTGGAAAAATAACTCAATAGTTGTTTCTCATTATTTCAAGATATTTATATAAACTTAACTATTTTCTTATAATTAATAACTGAAATATTTAATCTTTATCAGAAACATAAATGACTTAAATCAAGTTAGGATAATCTCTTCAATCTACGTAGACAATTTTCTATTTTTAAGGAGTTTGCTAGTGAATTTGGACAACTGATGAGCTTTTTGTTATCACATCTTTTATGGATGATACAATTTTTATGTTATCCTCTATTGGATGGTAAAAAACCTATATAAAGTTAAAACAAGTTCTTAAATCTGCTGATGACAATCAATTCTAATTATTCCATTGCCCTTGTCACTTGCTAAACCCTGCAGTTTATCTCTAAATCTGTCCACGCGTCCAATTGGAGCATATGCTCTCCTCAGGGCGACGTAGATAGATATCTGAGCAATGAGTGTATCTTAACATCGTGTGCGGTTCCCTGGTTAATCCGACGAGCCGTAAGGAGACTATTAACGCTCGTAAATAACTCCTTGCAGATTGACTCGGGATCGGATTAATATACTCGTGCGTTTGCAGGGTTACGAGAAAGGAACGGTCTAAGAAGAAGTGCTTCCGTCAATACCGTAACTACGATTTACTGTAGTTCAGACTGAATAATTAATGATACTAGAACATTTGATGTACGTTGCGATAGGCAGTTCTAAAATAGCGCGGTTTGCAATGTAAAGGAAATTGCTGGGTGTAAGGTAGGAGTGGGGTGGAGTATATCTTAATTTATTTTTTTATCTTTTATAATATTTCAAACAAGTTCGTATTTCTATTCATATTGATATA